CACTATCTTCTCTGCTTTGAGGGTGAGACATTTTACCTCAAAAGGGCAGCCAGTTGGTTGAGGTTGTAGTGCCATTGGAGTTGGTTAGCAGCCAGCTCCTCCCTTGACATCAGCTTCCATTTTCTTGAGGTCTGCCTTCAGTGTGTCCTTGTAGCATTTTCTCTGGCCACCATGAGGTCTCGGGCCATTACTAAGCTGGGAGCAGAGCACTTGTTTTGGAAGTCGAGAGTCAGGCGTCCACACGGTGTCTGGCCCAGAGAAGTTGGTGCTTGAGGATCGCTGACTCAATGCTTGATAACAGCGGCTTCAGCAAGGAAGCTGCCATGTGTATGGCGACCTTCCCATTTGATGTGGAGGATTTTCTGGAGGATGCTACACTGAATTTGGGTGGATCTATTGACCCTGGACACAGTCGCTCACCAGTTGTTCCTGGAAGAGAATATACCCAAGTTTGGGAGTGGACGGGTTTCTCAAACATCTCTCTATGCTGTGCTGTGAAACTAAGCTGGCAGTGAGAGCAGACAGGGTAACAATGATGCGCGCCACGGCAGCTCTCCGTACGTAATGCACGTCACAATTATCAGCCTCTTAACAAGGTAATGAAGTTTTTGAGAGGGAAGTATCCTGCACTGTACTGAGCCATGTTTTCCTAAAGACATGAATCACTCCCCCATTGTGCTATCATATGCAGACAACTGTGATTATACTTATGCACCCAGCATCATCCTTTACAAAGCTATATTCATTTTTATGGGTGGCAATTAATCTATGGTGATATTTCTGAAGGAGAGTAAGTGAGTGCATTTGCTAGGGGATGTTAGTATGTGACCTGAAATATGGCAGCTTCTGTTAATGCAGTATTTCCCAAGAGAGCGCTAGCCTTCCAGGCTCATCCTTCACGGTATTGACACACACGCATGCAGTCTGAAGGAAGCATTTGTACCTCCCTGACACTACTGCTCTTGGGTTGCCTCTCATTGATGCTGCGGTTAAGGTCCCTGCATTGTCTTGAAGCTTTTAATGGCATGTGCATTTACAGTCCAGCTCTTGCATAAGCTTTGATCAGCTTTCTTATTCACACATTGTTGCTGTTGTTATTTATCTCTATTTCAATAGCACATAGATGTGGCAGCCAAGGCTAAGGCTGGGTTGTGCGAGGTTCACACAATACTTTACAGATACAGTTTACAATGGCCAAACAGCTCACAGCACAGAGGTGTAATCCTGTAAAGTGCAGAGTATCCTGGATTCCTAAGACCCTGCTGTCACAGGGAGATGACTTTGGGGTTTCTACTGGGGCATTTATTGGGCTTTTATAGCCTAAATTCCATGTAGAAAGGTCCTTCTTTGTTTTTGTTTTTTTTACTTAAGCCGTCATTTGCCCCTCTTGTTTTATTCTCAGCCTTGAATGGCAGGTCCTCCTGCAACCAATGATGCACCTGAGCAATCAGACACACAAGTAGTCCAGCTGAGCTGGATGGAGCTCCTCACGTGTTTGCAGTGATCTGGTCTTCAGGTTACAAATTCTCTGCAGGCTTGGACTCTTGTCTGTCTCTGTCTGTGGACCGGTCAGCTCAACAGGAGGCCAAGAGTATAAATATGACATGTCATGAGGTTAGAGGCAGCTGCCAGTGGGACAGATGGAAGTTGAGAATGGCTGGCTTTGAATCAGATACGTGGATGCCACAGGAAGCTGAGTCTGGTTTACAACAATCCTTCTAGTGGCTCCATTGTATGACATGGCAGGTCTGCCTCTCGGTAAGGAGCAAACAACAGGAGCAGAGTCACTTTTGAGGTACCAGGATTTTGTTGTTGAACTGCCCAGATATTAAACTTGCAAGGACACGATCCCTCTATCACCAGTTTCAAACCAGTTCATCTGCAGGAGGCCTTCCGCCAACTTCCACTGAAACCAGTCAGTAGTCAATGAACTGATGCTGAGTGAAATGACCCTGCTGCTTGGGTGAGAGATAGGGATTGAACTGGAAACCAGTGGATGTAAAAGCTTGAGCCTTTACTATATGACATGAAGGAGTAGGTTGGCAAACCCAGAGACAGCAGCAAACTCAGATATAGAGGTGAGACTCAGCCACTGGAGAGTGACAGAGAACCACATAGTTAGCCTGGGATAATTCTTGGCAGGATTTATCACCATTTCTGAAACTGTGGTTAAAACCGGCTGGTAGTTTTATAATGCATAAAAGGTTCCCTCAACCTCCAAAACAGTTGGATCAGGCTCTTACAGCTCTGTAAATAAAAAACAATCCAGGCCCATCTCTCTCCTCTTCGGTGTTTTCCATGAAGAGTCAGCTGCTTTTTAATTCCTATTTTTATGCCATCTCCTCAATAAGTTCCAATGAAATTCACATTCTCCATATCTATCTCGTGTGCCAAGCTGTTTTATTTCATAGATAATTAAAGCATTTTGGCCGGCTACCCCAAGCTAGACGTACGGAGTGATGCAATGTGTGATCATTGATGCATTGTGTTTAAAAGCCTTTGGAAAATGTATCTAGCTGCCAGCTGGTTTCCCGGCCACTACAGGCTTTCTTTATTATCACAGTTTTCAAAAGAATATATATTGCACCTTCTTAGAGAAATAGCTAACCCCCCCTGTGCACCTTGGTGAGCAAAGCATGGAGTCTGATCAGAGGAAGCAGAAAGGAAGGAAGAAAGAAAGGCATGATAAATATATGGATAATTAAAGTTTGATGTGTACATAAAGCTTAAATAATACTACAATGGTATTTAGAGGACCGATTTGGACTAGACACTGTATAAACACAGCAATAGGCATGACAGCTAGTTTTCCAGTCTTGCAAAGGTTTCCAGAATGTTTCTGTCTCCTCCTCATTTCCCTTTCCACCTCGAAACATAAGAAAGAGTACAGGCACTCCTCACCTAACGACCGAGTTCCGTTCCTGCGACTAGGTCGTTAAGCGAATTGGTTGATAAGCAAGGAGCCGCCCCTTGATACTGCGTGCCTTGGCTTGAGACGCCGCGCTGGCGTTTCCACGACCAAAGTTCTCGTACTTACGACCAGTTCTCACTGGTCGTAAGTCCACGCGGTCGTTAAACAGGTAGGACGTTAAGTGAGGAGTACCTGTATGAGAGAATTGCCAAAATATAAGAAAGGAATATGAGGTCGCTCCCTAGCTAATGGCAGTGACACCTACCTGGGCTGTGGGACACCCTGCTCTAGTAAATGTTGAATTATATTCAAATATTGAATTATATATATGAAGTGGAAAGAGGTCTGATTCCAGGAGGAGTGGCTCCTGCAGAGCCCTGTGGTCCAGGCATTCATCAGAGACGTGGAAGACTGATGGTCGAGCCTCAGAATGAGGCAGAACAGGGCCCAGACCCTGGCTCTGCTGTTCCAGGGGCACTCTCTCCCCACTGGGCTATTTGCCCTTCTGGAGCAGATTGGGTCTCCTCTTCCACCCCCACCCTGCACGTGAATGTGTGTGCTTGTCTGTGTGCATGCACTGTCGGAGAAGCTGTCTTTGTCAAAACTGGTCCATATGTACCAGACTCAATTTTAGTTTCAATGAATTGGCATTTTATGGCAAGAAGCCATCCCAGGGAGATTCCCGATCTGTGGTAACAGACAGGCTCTCTGCCCTTATGCAGCAGTGCCTGGAAGGTTTTCTGAAACCACGTATGAAATAGAAACATAGCCACATTGCACACAGGTTCCTTGTAATAACTGATGACACATAAATGGAGCTTTAGTTTTCTGGGTGCTCAGCTATGAATCTCTCCCCCTGTAGTGCACAGGGCTCTGGTTACCCAGCCCGGTGCATGCCTGGGATAGATGGCAGCAGCCCCTTTTGAAGTCAGTGGAGTTGTGTCTTCTCTCAGGTTGATTTTGACCTGCTGTGCTTCTGCTCAAGAATTGCATTTTTTAAGATCATTAATGCTGGCTGAATACTTGCCTTCCTCTGCTCCCTTTGCTGGAGTTCCTCACATCAAGCAGTTAATATCCCACTTTCCTGGAAGCAAAAAGAGAAAAAGTAGGAGAAGCCACATGGCTGCATGGAAAAGGCACGGAGGGCCTAAGGCTGTTTCGAGAAGGGCTTCCAGTGACTGGGCTTTACATGAGAAGTCACGAGCCTTCAGTACCTTGCATGTGTTGCTTGTGTGAGAGGAGTCATGAATGTCATTTGTGGTTTAGCATGTGCGAAGGGCTTGCGGTCTGTTATAACAGCTATACAGGCAGGACCACACCAACAAGCCCTGCTAGTGAAGACAGCACAAGAATGCTGGCTGGGGCAGCTTCAACCAGTTCCCCAAACAGAGTAGCCAGCTTAGGGTAGTCTCTCTCCTCGGGCATCTGCCGGCAGAGCTATGTCAGTCGGAGGGTGATTTCTTCCGCCTCACCGCCTAGCATCGCTTTGCTGGCAGAACATGGAAGTGCAGATCATGTTGCAGAGCTAAACTTGTTCTTAGAAATCCAAGAAACTGGAGGCAGAAAAATGGTTAGATCCATCTGCACCTCCCTTGGCGAAGGCAGGAGAGTTTCCTGCAGCCCCAGCCCCAGGACAGTCCGTGTCAAACCAAATCCAGTGTCTTAATGACTTTAAATAAGTAGTAGGGGTGGGATCCTGGCTCCACTGAATCTGATGCCAGTTTGCCAGTTACTTCCGTGGAGTCAGGATTTCACCTTCCACTGCATGTTTGCTCCTTCCAGCTTTCTCAGGCTCACCAGGAGACAGGATATTAAAAGATGGGGGACCTGATCCAATAAAGCACTTAAGCACATGCTTAACTTAAAGCATGTGACTTGTGTTATAGTCATATGCTGAAGTATGTTGTTGGAGCAGGGTCTTAACTAGAAGGACGTTTGAGAAAGGTCCTGTTCTTCACCAAGCCTTTTTCCTTTGCTTACCAGCCAGAGTGCGAGAGGTTGGAACAAGACTATATAAATGCACTTACCTAATCATCTCAGTAAATGAATGCATCTTTTACAGGTTGTGATAGCGATCACTGGGGACCCCATTGCAGCAACCGCTGTCAGTGTCAGAACGAGGCTCTCTGCAATCCCATAACTGGCGCCTGTGTCTGTGCAGATGGGTACAAAGGATGGCGCTGCGAAGAGCTCTGCAACTCTGGGACTTATGGAAAGGGCTGCCAGCTTAAATGCCAATGTCAAAACGGAGCTACCTGTGACCATAAAACAGGAGAATGTCATTGTGCTCCTGGATACACAGGGGTATTGTAAGTTCAATGACAGGCATATTTTACTTTGCATCACTTAATGGCCTGGTTTCGACTTTTTAGTACAATGGGTATTTGATAAAATGTACACATTTGATTTATTTGCCTTTTTCCCCTCTCTTTCTAGAATTCAGGTAACAGGATTTAAGGGAGAGTGAGCAAGGGAGTGGTGCTTTTCACTGCTAATTGCTGCTGTCGAGTATGTCAAAATCAAATATTGGTCAAAAGAGGGATTAAAAGTTCAGGAGATTTTCCAGCTAGTAAAACTGCTGTAGCTGTTCCTAATTTCAGTGTAAAGCAGACACCAAAGCAGAGTTCTGTGCTTACAAGCAATTGGATGTACTTGTTAGTGACCCAAGGCAGTGCCAGACGTGACTCCCCTTCCTCATCTTATTTGACTTTCCATCTAACTGAGGCAGCATTAAAGCTAACTAGATCAGCTTGCTGTCTGGGCGGGAATTGTTAGTGTGGCAAACAGGGATTTAGCTGTGTGACTCCCATTAACTTTAACGAGAATCATGTTGCTAAATCCCTGTATACCACGCTCAAAGTTTACCAGGAGGAGTCACAAAATCTGCATATTAATTTTAGAACAGCCGAGCAATAGCTTCTTGTTCAAAATTGCCCTCAGTGTAACATCAGTGCTCATTAGAGATCTTGCCATCATTTCAGAAGTAATTATGCTCTTCAAAATTATTTAAAGGAAATAAAAAATAATAATTTTTTAGAGGGAAGTCTATTTTGTTTTCTGAACCACTTTGGAAAGCTGTTGCAAATGTCTGGCTTCTTTTGCAGTCTAGCCTTTGTTGGCCAGAGCAAAGGAAAGAACATGTATGCCAGAATAAGCATTATAGAAAAAAATTGATAAATTAACCTGAAAAATTAGCTCTGTATCTTTGAATATCTTCTTATGCATCTAATTTCCTTGTGACCTTATGACTTCAATCTGGTAAGCCCTTAGCGCCGAGGGGTCTGTTTATATCTCAGTAGTCTCGGTGACTTCGACACAGCTACTCAAACTGCTAAGTTTCTCCAGAGCCAGGCAATAACATGCTTTATTATGAGTATCTCTGTTTGGAGGCCTAATTTGTTATTTGCTTGCGAAGAACCTGTAATCTGTTAAAACTGACAGTACAAGGAAGAAGCAATCAGCATAAAGCCTATGAACCACTTAAGTTTTATGGAAGCCAGGGAGTCTTTGCGTTGACTTGAGTGGCCAATGGATGAGATCTTAAGGGTCACTTAAATGGTGTGTGGCTTTTTGGCAGTCCTTTATCAAGGGATGAATTTCACCCCTGAACGCTGACATTTTGTAGCAGCATTGGACAAATGTGATACTTCAGCCATTCAGCATTTTAATTCTGCCAGTTTATTTTGTGAGAAATGAATGAGATGGGTATATCTCATCATCAAGCTTCAGAGTCTTGAACTTGCCACACTACCTCTTTACTCACATGAGTAGTCCACTTGAAGCCACTGAGACTTGGTGCATGAATAAAGATTACACACTTGAGTTAGTCTTGCTGGCCTCATTCTGCAGAACACAAACACAGCATCCTGGAGAAGCTCAAATGTTGCAAATCTTGACTAATTGATTTTTACAGTTGATATTGCCCTTTGGAGCTCCTCAAGCCTTGGATGATTTGCTTGAGCACTCCCAGGATGCCCTGTGTTGTGGACTCTCCTCATTTGCAGCTTCCTGTTTGCTTGAAAAACGCTCATTTGCTTTTGCTTCTTCCCTACAACACAGCTGTGAGGAGCGTTGCCCTCCTGGCAGCCATGGAGCTCAGTGTGAACTGCGCTGCCCGTGCCAGAACGGAGGGATCTGTCACCATATCACTGGAGAGTGCTCCTGCCCCGCTGGATGGATGGTATGTAACAAGTGCCCCCTCGCCACACATGTAGATCTAGGGGGTGGAGTTAGGTGGAAAGTATGCGCTGATATGCTGACCTGGCTGTGCTTATGTTGTCATACATGCCTGCTGTCTCTTGTCATACATAACTGTATGTATGTATGACACTTTGGGGCAGGGACGGCACATAACCCATGATGGAGGCCCTTTGGTACCGTGACAATACAAGCAAAAAAATAACAGGTGGCCAGCCTGCAGCATGTGTGCACTAGTGGCAGGGACAGCCTCTGTGTGTGGCATGTGGAAGATCAGGAAGGGGACAGTGGCAGATAAAGCAAGGAGCAGAGAGCAGAACAGCAGATCAGGCAGGGGACTGGAATCCACTTGCCCTTTAGTGAGGGTGTGGGGTTAATTAGTGGTGTGCATACCAAAAAGTTGGGACCACTGAAATAAATGATGGGAAGAAACTGTGACTAGCCCCTAATGTGCCTGTGCATGGGAGGAGGATGCCCTTGGCTTCATGTAGCCTCCCAGCCCAGGCTGTGGAAGAGAGAGCAGGGGCTGCAGGCCCAGCACTACCACACCTGAGCAATGCAGAGAGGAGTGAGCAGAACCTCCAGTCTCCCACACCATCACAGCTGAACCAACATGAAGGGCGCTCTGCCAAGCACTATGGCTTCATGTCCCCCTCCTTGTCCCCACCCCCGCCTCCCAGATTCCCATGAGCAAAGGAGGGGAGCAGTAGGGAATCTGAGCTCTTTGAGTTATGGTCCATCCTTGGGTTGTCTCCTGTGTTCTGGCACTACACGTGGCCTTTACTCAGGGCAGGGAGCAAAAGCTCAGCTGAACACAGTCTGCATGCTGCATTGTTTCCATGGCTGGAAGGGAAGAGAGCAGGGGGAAGCAAAGAGAATGCCAATGGCTCCAGCCAGCTATAGCGCAGAGAGAGTGTACACAGGGATCCAGAGGTCAGGTCAGTGCTCTAGTCCTGACTCAAGCATAATTCCCGTTGATTTGAATAGGAGTTTTGCTTGCCTAAGGAGCTGGCTTAGAGAAAACCTAACCTTTACTCGTGGCAGGAAAGCAAGGCCAAACATTTAAAAAATCTCCAACTTTACAAGTGATGTGATAATTAGCTCTCTGGGTTTGCCAAGTCTCCTGGCCCACACACCATTCAGCTTTGCAAAGTTTCCTGGTACTTTTCCAGTATTTAACAATTAGTTCCTTGACAATTCTGCTGAATTGCAATGGAAACAATGCCAGGCATTTTGCAAAATACCTAGAAGATCCTCAAGATATTCACATGTGACAGCAGGTGCTGAGGCCTGATCACCCTTCAGATGTCCAGGAGCTGAGGGATGTTTGTGTAATACTGTCTCTGTAAGGTATGTTGTGTGTCCTAGTGTGCTTGGGGGAAAGCGGTCTTGTACGGCAGACGCTGTGTTTAGAGTGCTGCCATAGAGGAGGGTGATACAGTTCCATCCTCTGAGACACAAATGAGCATCCTTGCCTCATTTTCCTAGATGCATCACAATACTCTGATTCCCTGCAGCCATAATACAGATCATTATCCTCATTGTCAATAGTCACAAGCCTGTAGGGTAAAAAAACCTTGTGTTTTGGTTGAAAGACAATAGCCCTAAATGTCCTCCCAGAGTCAGTGAAATAGAGTCAGGGGAAGGATGGATATAGCCCAGGAGGTTATGTCTCCTCCTCTCCCTACCACAGTGGTCGGCTGATAGACTGAGGGCAAATTTCCTTCTTGTGTAAAGCGGTTCACCTTCATTGATTTCAGTGGAGTTGTGCCAGCTTCTGCCATAGGGAAATTGGACCCAAAGAGGTAGGGAAGAGCCAGATGTTACCCAGAAGACAACTTGAGGTCCAGAACCAATTGCACGCTTTGCTTCTATTTAGCTTCTCAAGGACATTTTGCTCAAGGAGCTAGTTCAGGGTAAAAGTTGCTTTTCAAATGATTCTGGGGGCAAGTTATAAGGTAGCACAGGGTAGTGACATACAAGAGAACCAGCCTTTGACAAACTTTTCAGCCTGAGCTATTCTGTAGGGAAGACATCTCAGGGATCTCTCTGCTAGGCCTCTCATGGCCAAAGTGATTGGAGAGATAAATGATGGTGCAGGTGGAAACCAGTCAAAAAAAAGGGCAAAGTGTTATTACAGGGAAATGTACCCTGATCTGGCAATCACTGAGTGGGCAAAATATGTTCTGTCCTAAGGGGTGGTGTAGCTAACAGAGAAAACAGGCAACACTGCTGTTTTTCTCAGGCTGGCAAGCAGTGCTGCCATATCACAGTTCCCCTGAAGGTTGATCAATAAATGGATAAGCATCAATCTGCCAGCCACCGGGGTTTTTTTTATTTATTTTTATGTCCTTAGTGCTCCCCTAATATTTGTATTCAACATGCTGGGGTTTTTGAGAGTCTGAATTGATTCCCCCCGGCTGCTGGTGGCAGACTTTTCTTTGTGGGGTTAAAATATTATTCAAGAAATAAGAGAAGGTAGGGAAGGATCAGACAGTTTTAGAAACCTTGAAAGGGGGAAGATGGACCCTAGAGGAGCAGGACACTGATGCTGCAGACCTGATACAGCCATTTTTACTACCCCGTTTGTGCCTGGCCACTTGCAGCTCAGAATTTTCCCCACAATAGTTAGCAGCCTGGAGACACTATCGTGAAAACTCGATTGCTGGTAGCTCTGTCCCCTGAGAAAAACTGGGAGTGAAGAATTGATGTGTTTGAACCAAGCATAACTGAAAATTGAAGAGAGAGATCAAGTATTCTGGGAGAAGAAACTGAAATTATAAGTAGAAACACTCAACTTGTAAATGTTAAGATTTTAAGTTTAAAGGGTTTCTCCAGGGTTTTAATGAAAGGCTGGAAATTCAGTAGACAGAGAGAGAGGAAAAACTCATTTTTTTTCTTTATGGAGTTTTAACTCGTGGCGTTTGGGATGGTTTGTTCAGCCGGACGCCAGTGGGCTATAAATGAGCAGGAGAGATGGGAATGCTAGATTGTGTTCAGTTTATTTTATACTGTTGATCGTCTTCCTTTGACATCAGGAATTTTACTTGCAGATTATACAGCTTCAGACGATGCGTATACGTACCATATATACTCAGCACATAGGAGAGAGAGAATTCTCCCTGGATTTACGCAGGTTATTGCTCCCGGACCAGCCACAGCTCTGTGCCTTTCATGGTCCCCCGGGATGCAGACATGGGAGTGATTAATGACAGCGTAGCTCCCTGAGGAGCTGTGGTGCCTGGATGTGGGAGGGTAGGCAGCGAGTTGGCTGGGAGATGTTCCAGGGAGAGAGTGTCTGGCTTCCTCTTGGATCTGCCTCCCTCAAAGGCCGGTGTTTCTACCTCATGGGCTGCCCTCCACTCTACAGCAATCATCAGCCAGAAACATAAGGATTTATAGTAACTCAGTGCATCCTGCAGGTTATTCACCTTCCCGTGGGTTTTTTACTAGGGCAATATGTAGCCCATATCATAAAGCTGGTCAAGAACACGTGGTTTCTAGTGCTTGTGTGTACTGGGCATTGCATGCTCTCGTGTCTGTGGGTTTGGGCGTTGGGTCCCTCTTGGCACCATGTAGGTTTAGGTCCACAGGCAGGGCTCTTTGGATTGCCCTGCCACGTCAGAGAAGACCTGAAAATGGCTCCCTGCAGGGCCCCCGAGACCACTCATGAATGCATTAGAAGGGTTAGATCACTGCAGAGCTAATGAAAAGGGATTTTTTGCTTTGAGTGTCTGAGTGTGCATCGTCCGCAGTAATCCGCAATGAGGAACTGAGCCCCTCTTCCAGTCTCAGCCCTTCTGCCTAGTGGTGTAATGTTAGCTTTCATGCAGCATAGCAACATCCTAATTTATTTATTTTTCTTGTTCCCTTAAATGTCTGGGCTTTAAGAGGAAACTGTTTTGGGGTTGTTTTTTTTCTATTTGTCTTGCTGGTTTGTGTGGCTTTAAAAAAAAAAAAGAAATAATAAACAGCAAAGGGAAAAAAAAACCCAAAAACCTCTTTTCTCTACTGCAATGTGGTAATAATCCTAGGAAACAATGTCAAGAGCAGAAGCCAGAGAGTTTGGGGTCTTAAAAAAGGTGCTGATGGAATGAACTTTTCTGATTAGACGCATAAACAGCAGGAAACTTCGGTCTGACATTTGATCCTCCAGAGAGGGAAGGTTTGGATTCCCTGAGCACATATTAATGCAAAAAGTATGCCTAAAGATTCATTCGGCTCCAGGGGGATGCCTCTCAGTGCATTGCTTTCTCATCATTTGCTGATAGAAATCCTGTTCTTTTTGAGACATGGAGAGAAAATGCATTTATTATCAAGATAAATGGATACCTACCTTTCTAGATATATAGTGTTGCTTATTACTCACGTCAAGAGACACAAGTTTGTTACACTCGGATCTGAATGCTCTTGAATTGAGGCCAACCTGTCTCTTTTACAGCCAGGGAGCCACCTATCACCAGGTCAGGAAGGCTTGAGGTGTCTGTTTTATGATTACAGGGAAGAGA